AGACGAGGCCACCCCCATCCCTGTCCAGGGCTTCCGCGGGGCCTGGGCCCCCGTGGCCCGTGGCACCGCGCAGCAGCCCCGCCGCCGCTCCGGGGCGCACGGAGCCACGCCGGGTGCCATACGTGTCCTCCCGGGAGGCGGGCGTCCGACCCGAGCATGTCGTATGCTCCCGATGGGAGGGGGGTCTCATTTCGGGGGGGGGGGTCTCTGCCAGGCTATCTTGGAGGGGGGGCGATGTTTTGGAGGTCCTCCACGAGGGGGGGGGGGGTCTGGAGTGGCTTGTCTTGGAGGGTCCCGACCCCCTCCCTTTTGTTACGAAATCTGGGGTTACCCGTCCTGTAGTGCATCGTTTCCCGAGCGGTGCGGCCAGAAAGCCCCCACTGCGACGCGAATTGCTGCAGGGAGGTTAATTCGGTTTCTCGGTGCGCGCGGCGCCCTTGCGTGGGCGGCGCGCACGCTGCGCCCGCAGGTTGGAGTGACGCCGACGTCGGTGAAGTGCCCCAGGGCTCGTGCCACTCTGCGAGGCCGAGGGCCCGTGGGTCTTCGAGGCCTGGGCGCCTCGATGCCCAGGCGCTCCCGGGCGCTACACCGCGCTCCCTCGGGGGGGGAGAGGAGGAGGAGGAGGAGGAGGAGGAGGAGGAGGAGGAGGAGGAGGAGGAGGAGGAGGAGGAGGAGGAGGAGGAGGAGAGGATGAGGAGGGAGGAGGAGGAGGGGGAGAGGGGAGGATTATGGGGTGAGGTGGAGGGGGTAGGAGGAGGAGGAGGAAGGAGGGGAGGGGGAGGAGGAGAGGGGGAGGGGGATGGGGAAGAGGATAGGATGACGGAGGAGGAGGATGGGAGGAGGATGATGAGGAGGAGTGAGGAGGAGGAGGCGAGTGAGGAGGGAGGAGGAGGGAGGAGGAGGGGGATGAGAGGAGGAGGGGAGGAGGAGGAGGAGAGTAGGAGGAGAGGAAGTAGGAGGAGTGAGGAGGAGGAGGAGGAGGAGGAGGGGGGGGGACGTCGTCTGGGCTTCCGGGCGCCAGAAGAGGGAGACCCACAGGCACCGCTGCCGCGGCTCCACGGCCCTCTCCCGGGGTGCGCTCCGACGGGAACCTCGGGGCGAGCCCCGCGGTGGCGACGAGGGCCCCCCGGAAGGCCGAACAGAAAGGGCAGCGGTATGGGTGCCCCAGCTTTCGCAATAAAAGGGAGGGGGTCTGGACCCTCCAAGACAAGCCATTTCAGACCTCCCCCGGTGGAGAACCCTCCAACACATCGTCCCCAGACCCCCCCAGGCCCTCCAAGATAGCCTGGAAGAGACCCCCCCCCGAAATGAGACCCCCCTCCCTTTATTACGAAATCGGGAGTAGCCCTTCCTCCTGCCCCAGGACGGGCCGATGGGGGCCCCAGAAGGCACCGAGACGACCGATGATGGCCCCGCGTCGTCGAACCGTCGATCCAAGGCGCACAAGAATGAGGTGGCCTCCGGACGGCCGAGGCGGGAAGCCCCGAGAGGCCCACAAAAGACACTCCCCAAGGGGTTCCCCAGTGGGCCTCCAGAAGGCCCCCAGGAAGCTCACAGGACGCCCCAAGAATGACCCAAGAGGCTCCAAGAGGTCTCCCCGTCCTTCTCCTCGTCCTCCTCTTCCCTCCCTCTCCTGATCCTCCTCTTCCTCACTCACGTGTTTCCCGGAGGGCTTCCACAACGGTTGGGGGGAGTGCCCCCCAGAAGCTCCCGCGAGCGCTCCGACGAGACTCCAGAAAGTAGACATCGTTCAAAATCCTTGCAGGAAATGTGCAGTTCGAGCAAGCCTCTTCACAGCATCAGGAGACTATACAGCCCCTAGGGGGGACGCCCCCGAAGCACCCACACTGCCCCCCACGACGCCCCGCAGGCGGCCCCCCCAACACACAAGAAGACCGCTCAAAGGGATATCGCCCTCGACCCAATCACGGTGGCGGGATGGGCCGCAGGCCACTCGGATCGGCCGCCCCTGTTGATTTATCACAAGGGTGCCTGGCGTGCTCTCCTGGCCCCTTCTTCTGCAACACTACATGGTGCTCTCCTGGCCCCTTCTTCCTCCTCCTCCTCCTCCTCCTCCTCTTCTTCTACCTCTTGTGCTTTATCCGGCTGCTCGCGGCAGTTTCCTTGATCCCGCGTCGATCTTGCTAGACGCATACTTTTGCCCACGCGCCTACTGGCGTATGGCTTGTTCGTTCGTTCGTTCGTGCCTGGCGTGCTAAGGTTACGTGGCTTTCGCTTCCTTGCTACAGAACTCCCACTGGGGCTTCGGCCGACTCCGCCGGCCACCCGGAGAGATCCGCAAAGACCGCAGCAATTCGCCTCGAGACTCTCCAGATGGCCTCAAGATGGCCTCCAAGACGGCCAAGATTACCCAAGGTGGAGCCAATATGTCTCCAAGACAGCCCAAGGTACCTCTGCGACTGCCAAGAGAGCCCAAGAGAGCTCAAGTTGGCCCCAAGATGCACCCAAGACGGCACAAGTAGGCCGCAAGCGGCCAGCAGGACGGCATAGGCATCCAAGAAGACCCACAGGAGGGCCTGAACAGGCAAACAGCATCGATGTTCCTTGGGTTTGTGCAAGATGTTGGCGTTTGCTCTGTTTCGGGATTCCGACGGTCCGAGACGGCCCAACAGGCAATCAAGATCGCCCCAAGATCGCCCAAGAGCCTCCAAGTTGGCCCCAGGACGGTCCAAGAGGCTACTAGACTTGTCTCGGGGACTGAGCTTGAAGCCCTCTTGGTGCGCTTCGGAGGCTGCATGAGCTCACGTCGGAGCAATGCTGGGCGTGTTAAGGCCATTGTGACGTGTCCGAGCTTATGTGGAGGGCCGCCTGGAGCCCTCTGGGGCGATTCTGGGTTCCTCTGGGGCCGATTGGCGTCCTATTGGGAGGTATTGGGGCCCTCTTGGGCGCTTCTTGTGCCGGCTCCGGGCGTCGGGCAGCGGAGCAGGCGTCCACGCGAAAACCATTGAAAAACCGTTGGGAAATAGACTATTTGCACCCCTGGAGCCTCTCCTAGGGATCGGCTGGACACTCCCTTGGGGCGTCTTGGCGCCCGCGCGAGCTGTTTCGAAGCAGTGGTCGGCGTGCTGGGAGCACTGTGGTGCCCTCTGGACCCCTTTGAGGGCCTCTGCTGGTGCGTCTGGGGCCCCCGGAGGGCACTGCTGAAGCGCGGAGGCCCGCCGGGCCCACCATGCCAACCCGAGGCAGCGATCTCCCCTCCCCCTTCTGGTGCCTTCTCAGAGAGAGACCTCCCACACAAACACATATATATATATATGTATATATATGTATGTATACATATATATATGCAACTATACATATATATATATATATATATATATATGTATAAATATCCAGATACATATACATACACGGCACTATACTATAACAACGAGTATCGTGGAAAACGATTAATAACATGATAGTATACCATACAGCGCAATCCATCGCAATATATATCGTCATAACTGTGTACTGAACATTGGGCTACACGATATTATAAACTACGATTGCATATAGCAATCACAGTCAATCCAATATATCAAAGTGTAATATCGTATCATGTACTATAGCATGATATGGTGCAACGTGTTCTGATGTTAGATGGACAAGAGAAAACTAATGTTTAATGTTACAGTTTGGGGGGCATACCCATTAATGTGACGAACAGTAGAAATAACATATATATTATAACACCACGTCAACGATCCAATGGAAAGCACGTATACCTTACTATACAGTTGTATGTGTAAGGTGAACAGGCATTCCTGCGCATATGCACACTCTTACTCATGCAGTTCTAGATTCATGTATACGCATGTACATATACATATACATATGCATATGTATATGTAATGCGTACATGGAACCTCTGTACTCCTGCTGGATCCTTCAGCAATCGTATTGAGCACATCAGGCATATAAAGGACATGGGCAGGACTCCTCAGGAATCTGTTAGGAATTATCTCTGGCATCTGTCCAGACATCCTACAGGAATTCGATTGGAATCCGATTGGGGTCCTGTTGGGATCCTATCGTGATCTTGGTGGGATCCCGCACCGAAGGTTCTATGGGCGGAGTATCACTTACAGGGGCTAGACAATGTCTATTTTCGCCGATAGGGGTTGGGGTGGGGGGGCGAAGATGCGCTCCGACGGTTATACTGTCTGCCTCGCCTCAACCAGGAAGACCATAATGAATCTTGGGCCCCAGGATGGCCCCTGGGCAGGGATGGTAAGGGTGCGCAGCCGACTTGTGCGGACCCGAATTAAACGGGCCGAACATTGAGGAGGTGGAACAAAAACACGAGGCGAGGCACGCGGTCGCGAGGGAAAAATCCGGAAGCCCCAACAACCAGATATCTAAATTCATGTGTGCCGCACCCGCCAATGTTGAGACAACACGTTCAATGTCTGGAGTGCGCCGGAGGGGCCGAACGCTTGCAATTTCCAGATGTAGAGTCGCTCTGGCTTCGAAGAAGGTCTGGCGGCTCATGCTCCAAAGACTGGCCGCACATGGGAAGAAAAAAAAGGGACACCCACAACACCATCCGGCGGAGGAGCCGGCCTCCCGGGCGCTTCCGTCGGACCAATCACGGGCCAGCCCCCAGCCTCTCAAGAGGGGCGTCCTGCTCATCGCCCCTGTAATTCCATATTTATTTCGCTCGGCAATCTCGCTCTGTCAGGCATTACTCCTCGCACCCTTTCATCGTCGTCGTCCACATCCTCCCCTCCCACTCCTCCATATAGTGCTCCCTCCTCTTCCTCATCCTCCTCTCATTACCCTCTCGCTCCACGCAATTCAACACGTCCGCATTGCAATCAACCTGGCCAACGACTCGTGCTCGTTTCTTCGTCCCTCATGCATCATGTCACTACACCTCACGCCGTCATTCCATCAAGACCTCTCTACTGCTACCAGTCAGAGGAAAGAGCCCATCCTTGCTCTCGTACCAGCCGAGGGCATACGCTTCGTCCTCGTCTTCCTCGCAAGCGCAAGTTCATTTGTCTCACGTGCGGGCGTAACACGACGGCAACACAGGTCATGGGCCTGGAACTCGAACAAAGAGAGCGGCGAACGCCAGAGTCAAGTTCAAAAGCGCCAGATCCTCTTTGAAGGGGCCCAAGGACACACAACTCAATACACACAAGTAACAGGATCCCCATATTTCCCCATATGTTCTGGGTGTTTGTCTTCCCCCCCACTTCCCATGTTTTCGCATATTTTCCTGTGAATCGACGATTAATTGTGTCTGTGTGTTGTTTCCCTCCTGATTGTAATGTCCCTCATCTCGGCGGCGTGCATGGGGGGGCAGTGAGATGGAGCAGGCCTCTTCAGAAGGCGGCTGGCCTTCTCAGAAACCCTCCGGCCTTCTGAGAAGCCAGCTACGTCTTCGGAGAAAGCCCAGAAAACTGATCAGAAGGCCAGAGGCCTTCTGAACCTTCCGAGAAGGCCCGCCACCTCTGACTTCCCCCCTGGGCTTGCCAGAGATCAACGCTATCTTTTGCAGAACTCCCGGAAATTTCCTGCCAGACGCGGCGGTCGAATGCAACCGTACTTGAGCATCTTTGAAACGATCCCTATCCCACTGGCGCGAACTGGGCCCCACTGGCCGGTTTACCCTCCCAACTGGGGATACAGGCTGTCCCCTTCGGGTTTCGAGTGGGGAACTGAAAAGGTACCAATGCCGCTACTCCCCGCACCTCTCCCGGGGTGCGTTCTGACCAGGACTTCGAGGCGAATGCAGCGGCGGCGACGAGGGCCGCCCAAGAGGCCCAAAAAGGAGAAAACGGGCGCGAAGTGTAGCGCCATGGGTGCCCTTCCCTCTTCTGATCGAGGGGTATGTCCCCAGCTGGGGTGGCGGGATGGTCAGTATCGGGATAGGGCTGGGGCCCAGTCCCCCGACGTCATGACTGTTTCATAACGTCGACCTTCAGAAGTCTCGACCCATTCCCCTGGACAGGTGTTCCATCCTGAGTCATTGTTTCACGGTCCCGAGGGCCGGTCAGGGAAATTAGGAAAAGCCTCCCGTCATGACTTCTTCATTACCCGAGGGGGGCCGAGGATAGAGATCGGCCAAACGTTACGACGGAGCACTGCATGGTGCCGGGGGGGCCCAAAATCCTCGAGGGCCTTGCACCGACCGGCCTCCCCGACATATCCTGGCCGAGGACCGGCGTGCTGGCTACTCCAGATTCCGTAATAAAAGGGAGGGGGTCTGGACCCTCCAAGACAAGCCATTTCAGACCTCCCCCGTGGGAGAACCCTCCAAAACATCGCCCCCAGACCCCCTGGCCCTCCAAGATAGCCTGGAAGAGACCCCCCCCGAAATGAGACCCCCCTCCCTTTATTACGAAATCTGGAGTACCCCGTATGCAAATGAACGCACGACGCTCCCCTTTTCAGTAACTCCCCCCGGTCGCAACGCCAAACGTATCCCTAGGGCGAGCCCGGCGCTTCGCTCTTATAGCCATTCAGCATCAGATGTCTAACATCTGCGAGGATGGATGGAGGTCGTTCCTGACATGTGGCGCCCGCCTTTACGCCGTGCACAGACGCCTCAAACACTGTGCATGACTGCGAACACGGAGGGCTACACGTTCTACAGTCGTCGCACCATTTTATAAAGAGCGTGCCGATTTCACATTGCAGCCCTCTCCTTAGCGCTTCGCGCATTCAGTGTCACAGGTTCCAGCAGCTCCGCAGATGGAGGGCAAATCGATTTCCGAATCTGGCACTCGCCTTGATTCCACGTACATTCCGCACGGAGCTATCAAAGTGCATGTTCATGCCAATGTTTGTTCGCCGAATTTCTCCGAGCGGGAATTACCAGCCTCCAGCGTATCCCTATCCCTAAGATTGACACGCCAGAAGGCGATGACAATCTTAGGGATTCGCCCTCAAAACCTTAAGGGAATCCCTAAGATTGGCATCGTGATGAGGAGATGCCCAGCATAGGGATAGGGATATGTTCCAGGCTGGTAAGGGAAAGCCCGCCTGGGCGCGCGTGCGACAGCGTCTCCACGGAGTCTCCCGGAGGGGGGCCGCGCAACGTCGCGACGGTGGCGCCGCTGACGCGACCCAGGGATGGCGAGGCCCACTTCGGATATGCCCGTGGGCCGCCGTCCGAAGGCCCTCCCAAGAGCTCAGATTGAGCAGGGACCGACCGTCCCGGCTTCCCCGTAGGCCTACCACGACATGCTCCCGGAACCCAAAAACGTTCCAAGAGCACACAGCCATGTTCTCATGACGTAGACGACATGCCCTAAGCCAGGGCAGTCTCGGCCAGAACTGTTCTGAGAATGTTCAGGGCAAGCCACAGCGGGTACTGAGAACGTTCTTGGATGGGCCTGCGGGCAAGCTGACTACCTACCAGACCACCCCAACCCAACCCGAAGACCCGAATCTGACCTGAATTTCGGGTTGGGGGGGGTACGGGTTCCATGTGTTTTTTCAATGTTCCCCGACCCCCCCCCACTGGAAATCGAGAATAAATTTGGGCCTTCGGGTTGGGTTGGGGTGGTTTGGTGGGTGGTGACAAGCCAGGACGCTTCGCCACTGCTCGCGGCGTCGCTCCGCAGGCCCTCGCAGGAGCTCAAGAGCGTGGCAACGAGCGCGCCGCTGGCGGCGCTGGCTGCGCGGCCCCACCAAGCATCCCACATGCCCCCACGAGTTCTCCAAGGAGGCCCCAGCGAGGCTTCCCGAGAGACCCGTAGAATCATCCACGAGGCCCCCGACCCAGGATACAATTCCCGCGATCGCCTCGAACACTCGCTCCTTGAGGGGGCCGGCGGAGCGGCAGAAGCCAACTGAATCGGAACTATGCGGGCCTATGCGGAGAAGACGTCCACAGCTCTGTGAGCACAATGGAGCCTTGAGGCTTGCGGGGCCCCTCTGCTCGAGGGGGGGCCCACGAAGAAACACTCAGCCAAAAAGAATGGAAGGCCACGGCAGGAGGGACGGATAATGACAGAAGATCAGGCACGACCTGTGCACCTGCAACTCCCGTCCCGTCCGGCCCCTGCTCAGGGGACAGGGGGATGGGGCGGAAGAAGGGTAGGCAGGCATCACTACTGTTTTTCTTTCACTGACGTTTTTTCCTTTTCTCTCTTTTTTCCAGAACCGAGAACCCAACACACACACACACACACACCACACACACACAGGGCACACACACACACAACACACACCACACACGCCCAAAACACCACACCCGCACCACGCACAGTACGCACAACACGCACAGCGGCAAACGCACACACAGGAGCCAACACGTCAACACGACGCACACACGCACACACGCACACACGCACACGCACACGCACATGCACAGGCACAGTCACAGGCACAGGCACAGGCACAGGCACACGCTCACGCACACGCACACGCGCACGCTTACGCACACGCACACGCACACGCACACGCACACGCACACGAACACACACACACACACACACAAACACGCGCACGCGTGCACGCGTGCACGCGTGCACGCACACGCACACGCACACGCACACGCACACGCACACGCACACGCACATGAGCACGCACACGCACACGCACACGCACACGCACACGCACACGCACACGCACACGCACACGAACGCAAACACGAGCACACACACACACACTTGTTGCGTCGGTCGGCGGCCAGGCAGAGTGACTGCGCTGGCGGAAACAGCACATGTAGGGCATACATATGCGAATTGGGCCGCAATGCGCGTGGGGAGTAGACGAGCGCGTTCCACCACTCGCAAAGTAGCTGTTTGCAAATGGCCTGGATCCCCGGCGGAGGCTCGACGATACATGACAGCAAAGCGTACATGTGCTTGTTTTCGTACTCTTGCCAGTGGGCATTTTGCGAGTGGTGGAGCGCGCTCGGCGAGGGAGGAGAGGGAGGCCCGGCGCGGGGCGGGCGGGAGGAGGAGCCAGGCCCGCCCAGGACAGGGCCAGGCCGCGGCGGGGGGGGCGCCTGGGCGGCGGGGAAGCGGCGGCCGCGAGGCAGCGGGCGGGGGCGGCAGCCAGGAGGCGGCCGAGCCAGGCGGCGGGGGTGGCAGCCACACACACACACACACAAACACGCACGCACACACACACACAAACACACACACAAACACACACACACACACACGAATGATGTCTGGGGCAGGGCTGGACCTCAACGTTGTTCTTCGTTTCGTTTTCGTTCGGCTTCTCGTTTAGCTCTACCCGTTTTCCTGTACCCCCCTCCCAGAAAGGAAGAGCAAAGCACACTCGACGTCCGGCAAAACAGCGTTTAGGTCCAGCCCTGGCCTTGGGGAAACAAATGACATCATCACGTGCGACTCCTGCACGGTTTCCCCCGGGGCCGTCGGCGACCCGAGGGGGAGGAGGAGGAGAAGGAGGAGGAGGAGGAGGAGGAGGAGGAGGAGGAGGAGGAGGAGGGGAGGTGGAGGAGCGGGAGGGGGGGGCCGAGGGGGGAGCTGAATGTAGGAGGGGAGGAGGAGGATGAGGAGGAGGAGGAGGAGGAGTGTGAGGAGGGTGAGTAGGAGGAGGGGTAGGAGGAGGACAGGGAGGGGAGGAGGATATGGAGGAGGAAGAGGAGGAGTAGTTAGTAGGAGTAGGAGTAGGCGGTGGGGGAGGAGCTATTGGTTGTGGGGGGGATGTAGGATTAGGAGTAGGAGTGGGAAGTAGTAGTAGTATTAGGCGGAGGAAGGGGGGAAAAAAAAATGATGAGGAGGAGGAGGAGAGGAGGAGGAGGAGGGATGGGGAATAGGGGGGGAGGGGGGAGGTGGACGAGGGGAGGGGAGAAGGCTATGTTGGAGGAGGAGAGAAATGATGAGGAGGAGGAGGATGAGGATGAGGATCAGTATTGTTCATCTGGTTTAGTTGAGGAGGGAGGAAAGGAGGGGTAGGATGATGAGGATTGTATAGTCAGGAGGAGGATGGTTAGGAGGAGTAGGCGTGTAGGATGGGTATTGAGTCTGGGAGGAGGAGGAGGACGAG